AAAGAGTGAGGCTTGAAGAACCAGAAAGGAAAATAAAGGCACATTTTTGACAGAAGAGCAGAAAAGCAGGGAGCAGAGGGAACACACGACACTGGAGCTGCATCTTCGATTGGTAGACCAGTCAGGGTTTTAAAGAGGGAGGGAAAGGTGACAAGGACCGTTCTATCGAGGGCATGTGTGCACTTAGAGAAAGCATCAGTGGGAGGTGGTCTCACTGCAGTCCTTTCTCCCATGTCCCCATCCTGTCAGAATGTGGGGTCCATTTGTACAAGCTCATGATCCTCAGCTGCTGAGCCAAGGTTCAAACCACTTGATTGGCCATGGAAGGTCCAGCTCCCTCACCACTTGGGCCACTGGTTTGCCTACCTGCTCTTCTTAAATTGAGAAAATGCACATGCCCTAAGGTACACTGTTAAAGCATGCAGTTAAATGAGTTTTGGTCTAGCGACACAGCAACAATCACCTCTTAAGTCCAGGATACTCACCCCACCTCACGAAGATGCCGGTCCTTCCTACCAGCCCTGGAGTCGGATCTACCTTGTCTGTAGATGGACTTACTGTGGACATTCTGTCTGGACGGAACCTATGGTCCTTCGTGACTGGCTGCTTCCCTTAGCATGATTTCAAGTGTTCTCCATAGGATGTACGAGTTCCCATCCGTACGTCACTGTGTGGATGTACCACGTTGCTTATCCCTCAGTTGGGCATCTGGGTTCACACTGAGTATTAGGAATAGTATGCTATTAATATCTACAGGTTCTGTGTGGACCTGTGTTTTATTCTTTGAGCATATACCTAAGGGTGGAATTGCTGAGTCATATCTCCACTGCCACTCTTACATGGCTTCTAATTTTTTTAAATATTTTGCTAGTGGGCACGTGAACTTGCCCAAGGGAGAAGAAAACACCCCTTGTTGGGGCGTGGTCATGCCACAGTTCCTTCATCTCCCTTGTGGGGTTTGGGCACACACACATGAGCCTGGCGTGTTTCTCAAGCAGCCAGGTCTGGGCCTCAACTGCACAGTCGGCCATGTAGGATCTTACTGCCCTAACCATGAAGCTGCAGATCACCCCCCGCCTTGTGTGGTAGAGCACTGCACGTGAGGTACGAGAGGAACGAAGTGTCCGGTCTTGCTGCAGTCGCCTTCCTGCAGTCCTTACTGTTGGACTTCCCCATGTGCCTGGCATGTTTGAGGCTGACTGGGCCAGGATTCAAACCAGTCACCATGTGGGTCTGACCTCTTAAGAGCAGCACACGGCTGTGCTTTGGAGCCAGCCCTAAGGTTCCATTTTCTCTACATAAGTTTCCCATTTGTTTGGGGGGTGAGTTTACATAAACAGGGTCTTGCTGTTCACTGGCCTAGAGGTCTCTATCCCAGCTGGGCCTCCTGAGCAGGTGGGACTACATCTGCACACCACACTGGGCTTGGAGGGCTGCAATTCTAATCTGGGCCTCCCACCACCTGCCGGACAGCGCATGCAGGGTAGCCGGACCTGCCCCTTCTACTTTTTTTTTTTAATTTGCTGTAAGAACGTGTGTGCAGGCCAGAGAGGGAAAGTGAGAAAGCACTCCCCCGACCCCCAGAGGACACAGCCATGGCACAGCCCCTTTTCATTCTCGGGATGGGTACGCATGCATGCACACACCCAATGGATTTTCCAAGCGGCCTGGTCCTGGGCTCAAACCACCCAGTTGGCCATTTGGGGTCCAGCCACCCAGTGCTCAACTGCATGGTTCAGGTTCTGAACCTGGCAGCTTGCGAAGCCAGGTAGGTGTGCGTGTGTCCCAAGATCTCAGAAGGAGGGGAAATGGCGAAGGGGCCGCAGCACCACGCCCTCGTGGCAGGTGTCTCCCTTTCCGTTTGGTAAGCGCACATGCCCTGTAGCCAATTTTAAGAAAATTTGAAGAAAAAATAAAAATGGTGTTTTTTAATTTAGTCGTGGCAGAGCACACGCACAAGAGGAGCATTTCCACAGGAGTTCGTCAGAGTGGTCCCCTTAGGTCCTCCACCTGCTAGGTCCTGGGCTCTCGCGAGTGCCTGGTGTGTCCCAAGCTGGCTGGTCTTGGGGTTGGAACTCACTTGCCATGTGGAATCCAGCTGTTCAAGCAGCTCATTAGCATGGAGCCTGCATATATACGTGTTTTTTACTATTTATTTTAGTTTTTGTTTTAGGGTGGGTGTGCTTGAGAGACTGAGAGGGAAAGTGAGAAATCACCCCTAGGGTGGATGGCCACACTGTGATCCCTTTGCCTCCATTCTCCTTTGGGCACACCCTCCTGGTTTTCAAGCCACTAGATCTGGGACTTGAGCCACACAGCTGGCCATGTGGGCTCCAACACCTTCACCATGCTACCAACTACCCCCTCCCTTTTATTTCTTTTATTATTATTATTTTGGAGAGGTTTTTGCTATAG